TCAGAAAGATTAACAGCTTAAGATCAGAAAGATTAACAGCTTAAGATCAGAAAGTTAGCAGCTTAAGATCAGAAAGTTAACAGTTTAAGATCAGAAAGATTAACAGTTTAAGATCAGAAAGTTAACAGTTTAAGATCAGAAAGATTAACAGTTTAAGATCAGAAAGTTAGCAGCTTAAGATCAGAAAGTTAGCAGCTTAAGATCAGAAAGTTAACAGTTTAAGATTGGAAGAAAGTTAACAGATTAGCTCTGTAGATAACAAGTTAGTGCCAGAAACATTGTATAATGTCTTTGTTCAATTATCAATTAAAAAGTTTTTATCAAATGATATTCACACAATGTTATCTGTCTTTCTAAATATAGAGCTTACTATGGAGCTCTGAGTAGCTTGGTTGATATCAGTCCTTACAAGTTTGGAAACTCAGAGAGCAAAGAAGGAGTTCAAGTTGTAAGTTCAATAAATTTGTGTTGTGTTTTTATAATACATAAACATTTATATCTTAAAAAAAAAGAAAGACACTAAATGTACAGAAGCACAGAAGTAAGACTTGTACAATAACTACTTGTTAACGGCCTTCCAGGTGTTCAAGTACAAAAGAAAACCAGTCTGTTTTGACTATATTAACCCTATGGACATGGGAGGGTCAATGTGCACGTGTCACAACCTTTCTACCTAGTTACATTTGAAATCGAACTAAACTACTTAATTATCAATGAATGTTATTAAACTTGTCATCAAAATGTAGCTTATAATTCAAACTTTTATATTATCTTAGTTTAATTACTTAATTTCATAAGGAAATATTTCAGTAAATTCTCCTTCTGAAACTCTGAGTCACATGACATGGTAACAGTGCTCTGAATTCTCATTTATAGATTTCTATCTTTTCACTTATAAAGGCTTCAGACCATTCAGCCAGTTAAAAACACAAACTAAAGATATTGAAAAGCTAGGATATAAAATTTCAACCTTTTCTTGACTTACTGAGATAGTACTGTTTGTTCAACCCATGACATGCTTCTCCTATCTACTCTGTTTAAAAACAAAATGTCCATAATTCTCTCTGACATTTTTATTGGACATGTTTATAACCAATAGGAAGAGTATATTCTAAATTACATAAATCAAACAATTGTCTTTCTTGTTATGGGGATAACATTTGATAATTTCTCATGAGAACTGACATATTTAGACTAAAGATGTTGTTTGAAAGCCAGATAAAGTTCACTAGTTTTGTGACATTCTGTTCTAGTGCATGATATACTTTGTGTTCTAAAATGCATATTTGAAAGATACATGAATTGTTTCTGTACAACCAACATAATGAGAAAAATGGGTCTCAAGACTAAAGTAAATGTTAAATTTATTGTTTTTTAGGTATATTTTTTAACAAAAGTAACTAAAATGTTTGTTTGTTTTGAATTTGTGCGCAAAGCTACACAAGGGCTATCTGCGCTAGCCGTCCCTAATTTAGCAGTGTAAGACTAGAGGGAAGGCAGCTAGTCATCACCATCCACCACCAACTTTTGGGCTACTCTTTTACTAATGAATAGTGGGATTGACCGTCACATTATAACGCCCCCACGACTAAAAGGGCGAGCATGTTTGGTAGGACGGGGATTCAAACCCGCGACCCTCAGATTGCGAGTCGAGCACCCTAACCATCTGGCCATGCCAGGCCAACTAAAATGTAAAAATCATAAACTTATTAGGCTAGATAAGAAAAACTTAATGACAAAAGAATTAAATAAAACATTATTGTGATTTCTCTTGGAGGAATGCATGCGACCTGAGTCTCGTATACCTGTGAAAGTTTTCAAACAAACTCTATTCACTATTGTCTTCTTTTTTTCTGGTGTTTATCAACATTTCTAATAATACCCACTATTTTCTTTTTTCTCTCCAAAATTTAAATGCATTGAATATGTTAAGCCTTATACCACCATTGAAAACCCAAACAAATATTTTGCATTAAGATAAATAAACCTTATACATCTTTAATGCTTATTATGGTGATGAGATTATTAAATGTTTCTAGTTTAGAATCATTAAACTTATAAATGTTCATTAAAGTTATTAATGTGGATATTTACTATCTTTGTTTCTTGGCTCAAAAGCTCTGAAATTTTTTATGCTCTTCAAAGGAATATCACAAATAACCTTTGTTCTCTTAAGACTAAAAATATGCTAAAATTAGGAAATGCGTAAACATAGTTAAGTATATAGAATACATATATGGTGAATACCTTAAGTATTTTTGACTTGCAGCTAAGGATTGATACTGAACTTACAAAAAATTACTCAATCCCTCTTAATGCAGCTCTTGTGGCATTGAATCTTTAAAAAAAACTTTTATCAGTTGATAATATGAAGTTGATAATGACCAAAACTATGACTAAGTACAGATAAAATATTTTTTACATCTCCGACTATCAAAGTTCAAACTATTGAGGCTTGACAGAAGTCGGTATGATTTGCTCTCCTTTTTATGTAACTTTCACACAGAGATGTGGTCAGAATTCAAACTATTGAGGCTTGACAGAAATCTGTATGATTTGCTCATTTTTTTATGTAACTTTCACACAGAGAGACAGTCAAAATTAACATGCAATGGGTAGAATTTATGATGTTGTTTTTTTCATAATTGTAACTCAGCTGCTTAAAGACTGTGTAGATATAGATTTTCCTCATGATACAAGAGATGGTGTGAACGTATCTATAGCTGCTCTTTATTGACACAGATGAAGAACTCACTGGTTCAATTTATGACAGTAGTTTTATGTAAATATGGCCTTGGTTTGAACATCTTACATAGATAAGTAGATATGATTGTATATCCTAGGTTTGTTGACTTTTATTCGATACAAGATGGTGTGTGTCATAAGAATTATTTTTCTGGTGTAGATAAAGCTTTAAAATATGCATGTTTGCAACATTCATCATTGGTGTAATTAGAACATGCATATCTGTCTTGTTCTATCTGTTCTTTCTCTTATGACAAGCTTGTACATCCTTCTCCTTGAGGATCAGGAGGTTAGGGCGCTTGACTCGGATTCTGAGGGTCACGGGGATTCAATTCCCTATTCCTCCAAGAGAGATCACAATAACGTTTTATTTAATTCTTTTGTCATTAAGTTTTTCTTATCTAACCTAATAAGTTTATGATTTTTACATTTTAGTTGGCCTGGCATGGCCAGATGGTTAGGGCGCTCGACTCGCAATTTGAGGGTCGCGGGTTTGAATCCCCATCCTACCAAACATGCTCGCCCTTTCAGCCGTGGGAGCGTTATAATGTCAATCCCACTATTCGTTAGTAAAAGAGTAGCCCAAGAGTTGGTGGTGGGTGATGATGACTAGCTGCCTTCCCTCTAGTCTTTCACTACTAAATTAGGGATAGCTAGTGCAGATAGCCCTTGTGTAGCTTTGCATGGAGTTCAAAACAAACCAAACCTTCTCCTCGAGACATTTAATTTTAGATGTCTTTTTTTTTTAATAGAAAAAAACAACCTTGATACTGACATGTAAGGCAAGTAAAAGACATTAATATTTGCTTCAGTACCCTTATATTTCTTTTTATACATGAGCTATTTATTTCTAACACCAGGATGTGATCAGTGTAAAAAAATGTTAGATAGACAAGTTGCAAGGTCATTTTGCTCTACGTACTTTAATATCATTGTGCTTGAAAGACATTACTAAGGATATTGTATAGCAAACCCATGTAAAGAGTCTTAATCATACTGTTTATGTGTAATTGTAGGTTCCTCTTCCTGACACATACAGGGGTCTCTATCGAGAAGAACACCACAATGTTGGAGAACTATATGCCTTGGATGCAGAGAAGGTTGTTGCTAGAGCTTTATTAAAAGGGAGAAAGGTAACATTCTATTTGAAGGTTTGATTTTCAGTTTTGGGATTTACTTACGTTAACTCCAAGAAGTCTGGATGTGGCAATTCGATGCACCTTTGCATGATTTCATTTAGAGTTTACTAAAATCAACCCATGAAAACCAAAATTGATAATTTTTGAAAAATATCTATGTTTACAATTAAGTAAATGAAATCTGTTTAACTGAATAAATTTCAACTTTGAATTTTTTTTTAATGTGTGGAAGAATGACTACATGTTTATTTTCTATATATATTAATCTGTCCGTGCAAGTTTTTTCTCAAGATGGGATGCACCAAGCAGGGCACAATAGGGTTCATGAATATCGTTGGAATGAAATCAACATTTTCCAAGTCAGAGGTGTAGAAAAAATTCTCTTACAACTTTATATGTGCAAACTCTGCTTATACAAGTTACTGATTAACTTTTCTCATTTTATGATATTAAAACCTTTTCCCAAAATAGTTTCTGTGTAAATTTGGCTATTGTATTCTAAATTTTAAGAGATTTAATTTGATGTTACCGTTGGACGTAGATGATTGAAGTGGCTTGTTTCTAGTAGTTATTTTGATAAACTGTGTGAAAATATAGAAAAATATGATTTATAGCTCTGGCAGTTTAGTAATTGATACATCTCATTCACTTTTAATTTTTTGAATGCAAGTGAAATGTCCGTAAACTTCAGAGACTCTTCTAAAGTTTTTATTTGCTTTACATTTTGACTTTAAACCTTAATGAATTCTACTGCAAGTTCCCGATGAAGTTGTAAGGCTGAAACATTGAAGAAATAATAAAACTTTGAAAGATTCTCTGGAGTTTACGATGGTTTCATTTGTACATAATTAAGTGCATAATTCAGCATTAGTTAATTTCAGAAATGTAAAACCATTTTTGTATGTTTATTCTATGTGCATTTCATTCAGTCTTGGCTTATTTAGCATCTAGATATAAAGACAAGGTTACTATCTGACTTGCTTTGTCATAAAACATTAAGTTTTGCTACCTTGGGTAAAGTAGAAAAAAAGAAGGTATTTTAAGGGCATTTGTATTGAAGCCTTTGGAAAGAGTTGTTATTATTATTATAAATAAAGTAAAAGGGGTTCTAAAAAGGAAAATATTTTTCATTCATTTTTATTTATTATCAACATTTTCATGCATATATTTCTTTTAAGAGAAATTTTCCAAATTATCATGTAATATGCATTGTAATGGAATCCTGAAATACTACTTCACATATGACTGAGGCCTTGTATGGCCTGGGAATTACAATGCTCAACTTTCAGTCTTTGTGTCATATATTTATGAGGGAATATGTTTTGCAAATTCAGCTGTGGGAGCATTATGATGTCATGATTAACCCCATTATTCTTTGAAAAAGTATAATTCAGTAGTTGACTGTGGGTGAGGTTGTCTAGCTGCATTCCCTTTAATCTTTCATTTCACAAAATTCAAAAATTGCACAAAATTCAACAAAACAAACAAACGACTTATCTGTTTCTAAGTGATGTTTAATGTATTTGTAGGATGTAGACCATAGTATCGTATGATAATGCATAAATACACGTTTTCTCTATCTGGCTTTTTCTAGATTGCTTGCTTTATCTCAGAGCCAATAATAGTGAGTGCTGGTGTGATAATACCTCCAAAAAACTACTTAAAACACATTTACAGGTAATTGTGGAATTATACTTGTAAAGACTTTGGATAGTTGATTTTTAATTTAGACAAAAAAAAAAGGTGAAGGTGTGAAAAATCAAGATGCAATCATAGTTTAAATTACTTGTGATTAATAAGTATTGTTTACTTTTGGTAATTTCCACAATAATATAAATAAATAATTTTATGTTTCAAATGTAAAAGTGTTGAAATGACTATGAAATATTTTGTTAGTAATAGTTTAATTATAACTGGAATAGTAATGACATTATTTAATTTTGTAATGTATTACAGCCGACAAGAACAATACATTAGTACTGTCAGTTAAATCAAATTTATTGTCTTAGCTAGTTGTGTAATTTTTTGACTGATTTGTATCATATTACAGTCAACAGGAAGAATACATCAATACTCTCTGTATAAATTACATTTTTTTTATCTGGCTTAGTTAGTTGTGACATAGTTTGTCTGATTTTCCACTAACTATTTATTTATTATTTATTAACCCTATGTGAAGATATTCATAACAATGTTTACTATAATTCTGAACTTACTATTTAAATCTTTATGGAATTTGGTAAGCTTTTAGTTAAGTATTGGAAATCAGATTTTTTAGTAAAGTATTTTTACTAAAGATGTGTCTGAGAATTTACAAAGCTTGACTAAGTCAGTCTGAGTAAAAGGTGATTTTCATTCTAAGAATATGAATACATCTTTTTATCTTACAGTTTTAATATTTCGTTTGCATAATCTCTAAAACCCGAGAAATGAATATCAAAAGTTAATTTTTTTAGTAAAATATTATGCTTTCTCTTATTTTTCTTATACCCTAAGAACAACTGTGGTGAAAACAGTGAGACAAAATATTGAAAAACATGAAATAGAATGCTGAATATTTTTTTACTAAAATGACTGCAGATTGTAACAGACAATTATATTTATTCTAACACAACTTCAGTTTGTAAACATGTCATATCTACTTGCTTTTAATTGTATTATTTTACAATGCCTCTAAGACCCTATCTAACAACATGACTGTCAGTTAACCAAAGTGGGAGAACTTAGTGTAAACAACTGATCAAGTTACTGATCAGTTGATCAACTGATCAACTTGTTTATACTTAAGTTTTGTTTTCTAACCTAATAAATTTCTAAGTTTTACATGTTAGTAAAAATTTGTTAAAAGTACCTAACTAATAAATAAAAAATATGCATAAAATACAATAAATTTAAGACTTAAATAAATTAATAGGCCTATTTGTACTGAAGAATGTACTTTGACGCCACTTTTTTCAGTATATGTTGGTTGTACAAAAAATAATTCATCTTGCTCTCAAATATGCATTTCATAACACAAAAAATATATCAGGAATCAGAGTAGAATGCTCAAAAACTACTATAATATAATTGGCTTTCTAGATTAGCTATAAGTAGGTTAAAACTCTTCCATTAGTGCTTGGAATAGTGACTTTAATCAACACATTTCAAGATTTCCTTGCAAGTTACTGGCTTTATGCACAAAAACAAAAGAGACAAATTGTCACATTCAGATGGTTCACAAGCACTTTCATAGAGAATTATAGATATGTCTTGAAAGACAAGAGAGAAATAGGAGGGTGTATCATGTGGGTGTGACAAAAATATTGATAGCTCAGTAAATCAAGGAGACTGTGTGTTCAAATTTTATATTATAAGTTGCCAATACTTATAGTGTGTATGCCAAATTTGTTGGACACTGAAATATGTATAAGGTTAGAAATAAAATCTAAATTGGGAAATCAGAGCACCAGATGTGTCATGTGACACAGAGTTCAAGATTGAGAATTTATTTAGGTACGTCTCTTTGAACTTAAGAAATTAAACCTTAGAATATCTTTGAAAACATTATAATGGTTTTGGAGCCTCACTATGTTGTTATAGTCCATTTTTTCATGTCAAGTCATGCTCTATCTGACAACTATATCTTGAAAATATTCCTGCAGTATAATTTCTGTTGTAAAGTCTCATTTCTAAGGCTGTCATGTCCAAAGCATGCTTTTTTGCATACTTTCCATAATCCACCTAGTATATGTGGATGATGGTTTCCTAGTGTACATTTCAACAGTTCAATTGCACATAAATCCATAGATGTTTTGTCTGATGACTTGACTAGTCTAACTAATATGAATATCCATTTCATTCTCCTGCTGCTTGAGTATTGTGATGGCTGAACAGATATGTTATGGAAGCAACTTGTGTGCACATGATTTGTGTCATTTTTCCATATTGAGGCTTTTGCCACTGACCATTGTATTTAGGGATTCCCACCTGTTACAATATGCTGCACTTTGTGTATCATGCCTGGGATGTGACTTGTTACAGGTGTCTTTCGACATGGCCCTTGGTGCCCTAAGTTGATCCATTGTTTTTTTTTCTGTTTTCCAATGTCATAAAGTATAAAAGATACCCCTGTTTTAGAAATTTTAAATTCCTAATTTAAACACATCTTTATGATTTGAGTATCTGAATGTTTTTTGTCAGAAAGGCTGTTGCATACCCTTCCCAAATTCAGTCAGTTTTCAGTGGGATCAAACTACCTGTATAATGCCAAACAATATCAAAATGTAACTTTGATACGTGTCATTCCACTGCAATTTTATATCAGTTGCAGTTGTCATGTGTCTTTTTAATAATACTACACAAAAAAGGTTGCTGCACATTTAATGTGTATCTATTTGTAATAATTTTTTTTATACAACCATACCTTAGAGTACATGTATAGATAAGATAATATGCATTGTTTATTTAACTTGTACCAATACTGTTTTAAACTTTATTTTTAATGTTTTAATTTGGATGTTTGCTAGAGGGAGCTCATCATTTTGATGACATTAAGAATCTAGTAATTTTATGCAATATCTAGAAATGAGAGTATGTTATAAATACAAGGTATCAGTTTGTGAAGATTCAGTTTTGAGAATTCAGTGACTATTCAATGAGTGGTTCAGTTCAGTGTTATACAGTGAGAGTTATTATGTCTAATTAGCCACTCATTAGATTAACAAGGAAATTCTGTAAGTTTTGTATTAGGTCATCAAGAAATTAATGTCGCATTTTGAAACACTTTCATTAACCACCCCCAAAAAACGTATATCACGTATAATAATTAAACGAACCATCTAAATGTCACTTTAGTGTAGCCTATATAATGTGTAAAGTTTAGTGTACTCTAATCCCTTATAGTGATGGCACATGACGAGACACACATTCGGCATGTAATACTGTTTGAATGCAAGAAGGGAAACAACGCCTCTGTAGCCACAAAGA